GTGAGAGGCGGGGGGGGAGGCCAGGGGCACACTGCAGTGAGCATCGCCACTGGCAAGTCTCCACATCTCTCATGCGGCAAGTCTCCACATCTCTCATGCAGCAAGTCTCCACATCTTCATGCGGCAAGTCTCCACATCTCTCATGCGGCAAGTCCTCCCACTGACCTCTACCTTCTTCCCCTCCTCCCTCTTCTTTCCCCCCCCTTTCTCCCCCCACTCCCTTCCTTTCCCTCCCCTTTCCCCATTCCACCGCACCCCACATGTCGTGTCGCTCCTCCCCTACCCCCACCTGCACCGTGGCTCTCATGCACCGCCTACACCCGTGGCAGGTGGCAGCAGCAGCGTTCCACGCGGATCTACTCATCTACAATGCCGGCACCGACATTCTCGCCAACGACCCTCTCGGTAGACTTGCCGTGAGTGCCACGAGGGGCGGTGGGAGCAATGAGGGGCGGTGGGGGCAACGAGGGGCGGTGGGGGCAACGAGGGCGGTGGGGGCATGGGACGATGGAGAGGTTTGGTTGTATGTAGAAGGGTAGTGGTGTTTCTCTAAGCATCTGTAGTGAGTGTTAGTACAAAAAGCTATAGCAAGTGTTCCAGACAGAAGCTATGGTGGGTGTTGCTACAAGAAGCTATAGCAGGTGCTGCCATGCGAATCTTCAGCGGGTGTGTTTGTAAGAAGCAACTGTGGCCGTTTCTTTTAACAGATAGAGTGGCTGATGCCTTTGCAGCTGTGAGAGCCTTGGTGCCCTGTTGCCCCCTTTGGTGCCCTGTTGCCCCCTTTGGTGCCCTGTTGCCCCTTTCCTCTTCTGCACCCCCTCATCACCCTCCTCCCCTCTTCTGCACCCCCTCATCACCCTCCTCCCCTCTTCTGCACCCCCTCATCACCCTCTTCTCGTTTCATGCGTCTCACTCTTCCTGCCTCCATGCGTGCAACCAACATCCCTCTCGTGCCCTCGCTTGCTCTTTCTCCCCTCCTTCCATCTCTCTCCCTCTCCCTCTCTCCATCCCTCTATCCCTCTCCCTCTCTCCCTCTTTCTCCCTCCTCCCTCGCCCTCCCTCGACCACATGCATGTGTGTGCATGGCATGGCATGGCATGGGGGCGAGCGAGCAGGTGACAGCGGAGGGGGTGCAGAGGCGGGACGAGATGGTGTTCCAGTTCGCCACCAACCACTCCATACCCATCCTCATGCTCACCTCTGGTAGGCCCAGCAGCAGCAGTACCCTCCCCCTCATGCTCAGAAGTTGTTAGCAAGCATGTTGGCATCCATGCCCTTGCTGGTGTTCCCTGCATCGCCATGCTGCTGCCATCGCCAAGCTGCTGCCATCGCCAAGCTGCTGCCATCGCCATGCTGCTGCCATGGCCATGGCATGCCTGGGATAACTGCTGCTCCCCCATCATGCGCCATCCACGCTCTCCTCTCAAACCTCCACTGCCCTCCCCCTTCCTCTCTCTCCTCCCTCCTCCCCCCTGTAGCCAGGGGGGTACCAGCCCAATAACGTTTACTTTGGCGCCTCAAACATCGTGTCATCTCCCTCTCTCTCCTCACTCCTGCCCCCTGTCTCCTCACTCCTGCCCCCTGTCTCCTCACTCCTGCCCCCTGTCTCCTCACTCCTGCCCCTGTCTCCTTACTCCTGCCCCCTGTCTCCTCACTCCTGCCCCCTGTCTTCTCACTCCTGCGCCCTGTCTCCAGGGGGCTACCAGCCCAATAACGCACGCATTGTTGCCGACTCACTCATGAACCTATCAGCCAAGCAGCTGCTACCACTTCAAGCCCCACCTGCTTCCTCGTGAATGCCCCCCTGCGTAGGCCGATGCGGCATGGCGGCAAGGTTTGGTAAAGTTGGCGCGTAGTGCAACTGACACAGGTGGCTGGTAACGGCCAAAGAACGGTCGAGGTTGGGTGCACAGTGTTGTACCGTATGCGTCGGATGGAGACGGTCGTGAAGTAAGAAAATCAAGATTTTGTTACTGGTACATGCGCAGGTTCGTTATGAACTGATGCGCTAAGGCGAATCTTCGGGAATGCCTTCAATAACCATTCGCTTATTCAAGCAACTTCTAACGGGGATATTTGCCGTGTACACTGAGAACGGGCTCTACATATGGGTGTGGTTACCTTGAACAGAAGCTGTATGGTGTAGGGAGGCTACTTTTTTTATTTTGTATGATGCATTATTAGCATCCGCTAGTGGCTTCTACGTTCGTCATCAGTTGCACATGTTTTCATCGCGTACAACACTGATAACATGTGCAAGCGTTGTGAGTTCCCACCCCACACCTATTGAGCCATTCCCACCGTGGGGCACCACTGAAGACCGACCGTTCGGCACGCACCACCACTCCTCCCCCACACCACAACTGAGGACGCGTCTGTCAGAATATTATGCTCTAGCCTGTAGTGGGGTGCTCTATAGCGAGTACAACCCTTCTAGGGTTTGCTATTTGTATCCCCATTCTTTCTAGTGCAACCCCTCTCCTTCTTTCACCTAAACTATCGTTTGCCTAGCTAGGGCTTTCCTAGCTTAGGCTCCTAAGACTACCTCCGATTCTCACATGGTATCAGAGCTACATGCTCCTGGCCTGTGGGCCCCACTTCACTGCTTCCGCTGCTACTGCTACTCCCTGTCCGCCGCGCGCCCCGTGGTGCGCGGCGTTGACTTAGGGTTTTCAGCCCGCCGTGCGCCCCGAGGCGCGCGGCGGTTTTCTGCCCGCCGTGCGCCCCGAGGCGCGCGGCGGGTTTCTGCCCCGTCACTCGGCGCGTCGCCCCCGGGAGGCGCTGCGACGGGCGACGGGGACCCGCGCGTCGCCCCCCGTCGCCCGTCGTGGCCTGCGCGCGGCCCGTACAGCCGGCGTGCGGCCCGTACGGGCTGCGCCAGGCCTGCGCGCGGCCCGTACGGGCTGCGCCAGGCCCGCGCGCGGCCCGTACGGGAAGCGCCAGGCCCGCGCGCGGCTCGGGCCGCCTGCGCGCGGTTCGGGCGGCTATGCCAGGCCCGTGGGCGGCCCGTTCCTCGCTGCCCCTGCCCTCCCCACTGTCCCCCGTGCTTCTACTGGCGCCCCACCCCTCCTACAGCCCGTTCTCCTGAATTAGGGTTTGGGGGTGAGGGGTATGGGGGTGAAGCCACTGAGTGCCGTTCCCTGTTCCTCCTCCTCCTCCGTCTCCCTGTGCTGCAGCTGCCGCTGAGGGGGGGTGGACTTGTTGGAGCCGTTGGAGTGGTACTAAGGGGGGGTGAAGGGGGAGTGGAGCTAGCGGTGTAGCAGCGGGTGTGTGTCAGGGGGAGTGGGATAGTTTGGGGAGGTTGAAGGGGGTGGCCGCCGTGAAGCCAGCAGCTCCAGTCGCCCGTGAGACCGTTGCGCCAGTCGCCCGTGAGCCCGTTGCGCCAGTCGCCCGTGAGCCCGTTGCTCCAGTCGCCCGTGAGTCCGTTGCTCGTCTGCCGCTACTTTTAGCCGCGGAGCCAGTTACTCCAGTAGCCCGTGTGCCAGTTGCTCCAGTTGCCAGTGTGCCAGTTGCTCCAGTTGCCCGTGTGCCAGTTGCTCCAGTTGCGCCGTGTGCCAGCAGCTTCAGCTGCCGCCCACTACCTCCTCTCCTCTCATAGTCTCTTTCCTCCTCCTCACTTGCCCGTTGTGACTACCACTAGCTTTGCTCATAATTGTGAACTTTAAACTATTGCTTCTTGAACTTGTGCTCAGAATGTGTGGTGACATTGTGATCCACCCTGGGCTTGTACTGCTTTGCTTGCTCTGCTGATTACACCCCACTTTGGCTATGGGGGTGTGTCAGAATATTATGCTGTAGCCTGTAGTGGGGTGCTCTATAGCGAGTACAACCCTTCTAGGGTTTGCTATTTGTATCCCCATTCTTTCTAGTGCAACCCCTCTCCTTCTTTCACCTAAACTATCGTTTGCCTAGCTAGGGCTTTCCTAGCTTAGGCTCCTAAGACTACCTCCGATTCTCACAGCGTCAACTCCTGCTAAAATCGGCGATCGATCCTACAAAATCAATCGGCCACCGCACTGAAATCCCGCATTTGCTTCCAAGTTTTAATATAACCTCCTCTAACCCAGGTAAAATTCGATCCTGCGCAGGATCGATCGCCGAAATTTGCAGGAGTTGACACGTCCTGAGCCCCAAGCTCCTTCCTGTTTGTAATTGCACAGCATCATACACCCGCACTACAGCACACCATGGATCTGATTCACCGATTTAGTGCACTTCGTACTTCCTCTCCTATCCTCTCGTAGACTGCTGTTCTACAGGTACTTGTTTGTGAAAGTGGTGGTGAGTGTTTACTTCCACTGCTTTTCCTGCAATCGCCGTTTTCACGTCACGCTCGTTCTTCGATCTCGGTTTAAACAAAGTCTAGGCTTCGAGGTCACTTCATCTCGTTCTCTTTTCAACCTCTCCACCATAATCTCGCCGAAAGAAATGCAGTCGGCGACACATATTAACGACCTTCCCGACGACGTCCTCACTAGGATACTATGGCATTTTAAGGAGTACACATCTTGGAATTCCGATAGTGACGCGTTATGGTCTCGCCTTTCATTGTGGCCGAAGCCTCAGTACCTTTCCTCGGTCCTTCTAGACGAAGATTCCAATCCCGAGGAAGAGACGACTCCAATTTCGACTCTGCCACTCCAAACACAGCCAAGATCTTCCTCATTGCGTCCGTGTGCCGTCGCTGGCGCGATCTAGCTAAGCGTGACGTCTCCACCCTCCGTATTGAACAAAATCGTGTTATTTCCCTCCAAGAACTCTCGAACGCCGTCTCTTGCTTCCCGAACCTCACGCATATCCATCTGTGTGACGGCAGCGTCGAAACTCTAGACGACACCTTCCTCTCTCACCTCGCATCGTCGTGTCCCAAGCTGACAACTCTCCACGTGGGAAGAGGGATCACGCAGCATCCGGACTATGTGGGATCGAAGCATGATCACCCTATTACTGATGCTGGCTTGGATCGGGTTTTTCAGCAATGCACACAGCTGGAGCAGCTTTCACTCCTCTGCCTCCATCGGAACGTCGAGCTACCGCCTTCTTTCTTCCACCTGACGCGTCTTCACACCCTGGCTTTAACAGCCGCCTCCGCCTTAGAAGCTCCAAATTTGGAAAACCTCGCCTCTCTCACCACCCTCCATATCGCCGCCAGGGAGATGAGCAACGAGCAACTCTCAAATGTGCGTCGCCTTCGCAGCGTTACCCGCCTTTCAATCTCTGTCCGGACCCGCTTTCCCCCTGCTAACCCGGGCTCAGCTGCCTTCACCATCGCACAGTTACCTTTTATAAAATCGCTGGAGACCAGCCACGCGCTGCTTTCCGATTGGCCATGCACGAGTCTGGAACGACTGCAGGTATCAGATTGCAGAGAATTGCATCGACTTCCGACGACATTGCAGAGCTGCTGCCGCGTCTCCGTCAGCTCACCATCTGCCGTTGCGATTTCTTCGAGGAGCTGCCTGCGGGTTTCACTTCCCTGAATCACCTCCACACCTTGTCACTCTTCCAGTGCCGCCAATTTCGCCACCTGCCCGAAAACATTGGGAGATTGTCTGCCCTGAATACTCTGGTTCTGGAGCAGCTGCCGCTTACGAACCTCCCTGACTCCATCCAGCAGCTCACCTCCTTGGGAACTCTCTTCCTGCTCTGGTGCGACCCCATCTGCGACCTGCCAGCAGGCTTCTGCTGCCTCACCGCGCTCACGACACTCTGCCTCGGGCAAGTGGTGCTTCCAGCGGACATTGGGCGCCTGAGTAACCTCCAGACCCTTCTTGTGAGAGACAGCTGTCAGCAGCGCCATCTCCCATGCTCGCTGACTGACATCTCCTCGTTGACGAGGCTTGAGCTGGGCCTGTGCGGCATCGAACGGCTGCCAGAGGGCGTGGGAGAGCTGAGCAGCCTGCGGGAGCTGCACGTGTCCTCCTGCTCGCATCTCACGGCCGTTCCGGCGTCGCTGACGTGCCTGACTCGCCTTGAAGCTCTCATGCTCTCCGACTGCAGAAAGCTGGCCTCCGCGCCCACACGGTTGGACGGCCTTACGAGGCTGAAGCGGCTTGAGGTGGCCTCGTGTGACATGCTGAAATATCCTCCTCGCGTCCTGCCGCCGTCGCTTGAAACGCTCAGCTGGGGGAGCTACAGGCATGTGATGGCTCTCCCCGATGTTTCCAGGCTGACTGGGCTTCGGACGCTTTGCCTGGACCGGGTTGCTGTGGCGTGTGATGGGCTCGCTGTGAGCAGGCGCCTGTCTCACCTGCAGCATTTAATGCTGACGCTGGCAGATGATTCCGAGGAGCTTCCTTTCCCCTTGACGTTTCTTTCTCAGCTGCGCACCCTGATTGTTCACGGCATGGGGAACGTGCAACGGCTGCCAGCCGATATGGGGTCAGCATTGCAGCAGCTGCGGAGGCTGAAGCTGAAATGTGCTGAGGAGTTGAGGGAGCTGCCAGCGAGTGTGAGTGCGCTGCTGAACCTCACGTCCCTGGAGGTTCACTCTGCACCCCGCCTGGCTTCCCTCCCGCATGGCATCGGTGCCTTATCCCGGCTGCGGCAGCTGCAACTCATTCTCTGCGAGCAACTTGACGACCTGCTGCCCTCTCTCACCCACCTCACCTGCCTGAACCAGCTCTCACTCCCGCACAGCTCCATCCGCGTCCTGTGTCCCGATTTCTCTCAGCTTATGCGGCTCAAAGCCCTCTGTTTGACAGGCTGTGCAAGGCTGCAGGTGCTGCCAGAGGAGTTGAGTGAGCTCAAGGGGCTGCAGAGGCTGGATGTGCAAGGGTGTGGGCATGTGATTGACACTCATGGGTCTGTGCTCCCCAGGAGCCTCAACCAGATGTATGGATTGAAGATAGTCAAATGAGCAGTACCACGTGACTACTAACCAGGTGCCCTAGTTACTGTGCTATCACCGTACGATCTGCTTGGTCAGGCTGCTCCTGTCACTCTAGCCAGCAGCACCCACTGGTAGCAGTTTCTCTTCCTCTGTTGTCTTTGACCTGACCAGCCCATGTAGGAAGGCATGCATTTTGATTAGACTTCCTAGGCCCTCTCAAAGCTGATTTTTGACAAGATTTGGAGGCGCCTAGGTAAGGAAACGTGTTAGAGAGTAGAGACAGGAATGGCTTGAATTGAAACAGAGTTGGGTACATATCCTAACCCTAACATTGGGTTGTACCCTTTATGGGCTACCCCACTACAGCCTACACAAGTATATAACATATACAGTTTGACACACCCCCATAGGCAAAGTGGGGGAGAACAAGGGGTCACAAGTGTTAAGTTGTAATGTGTTATTTATATGTAGGTAGGCTGTAGTGGGGTAGCCAATACAGGGTACAAACCCAACTAGGGTTAGCTACTTGTACCCAACTGTTTCTTTCAATGCACCCATTCTTGCCTAGTTCTGTTAACATGGTATTCAGAGCAGGAGGTCCCTAGGACCTACCGACCGTTTTTTTTTTTAAGGGCCCACCACCGCTCGCATGCGGTTACCACGCTACCCCGTGCCCTAGCCTCGTAGCGCCCTCGTGCGCCCTCGTTAGCGCCCTCGCGCGCCCTCGTTAGCGCCCTCGCGCGCCCTCGTTAGCGCCCTCGCGCGCCTCTCGTTAGCGCCCTCGCGCGCCCTCGCTAGCGCCCTCGCGCCCCCTTGTTAGCGCCCTCGTGCGCCTCTCGTTAGCGCCCTCGCGCGCCCCTCGCAGCGTCGCCCGCCCGCCGAGCCGCCCGCTCGCAGCGTCGCCCGCCTACCGCGCTGCCCGTTTCGCAGCCCGCCCGCCGCGCTGCCCGCTCGCAGCGTCGCCCGCCCGCCCGCTGCCCGCTTGCAGCGTCGCCCGCCCGCCCGCTGCCCGCTTCGCAGCGTCGCCCGCCCGCCGCGCTGCCCGCTCGCAGCGTCGCCCGCCCGCCTCGCTGCCCGCTTGCAGCGTCGCCCGCCCGCCCGCTGCCCGCTTCGCAGCCCGCCCGCCGCGCTGCCCGCTCGCAGCGTCGCCCGCCCGCCTCGCTGCCCGCTTGCAGCGTCGCCCGCCCGCCCGCTGCCCGCTTGCAGCGTCGCCCGCCCGCCCGCTGCCCGCTTCGCAGCCCGCCCGCCGCGCTGCCCGCTCGCCGCGTCGCCCGCCCGCCCCGCTGCCCGCTTCGCAGCCCGCCCGCCGCACTTCCCGCCTGCAGCACCGCGCTGCCCGCTTCGCAGCCCGCCCCCCGCACTGCCCGCTCGCCGCGTCGCCCGCCCGCCGCGCTTCCCGCCGAGCTACCTACCTGCAGCGCTGCGGCAGCTTCCTTTGCTCAGTCGCACTGTCGCTATGGCTTCCATCCGCGTGCTGTCGTTCGATGCTGAGGGCCGCCCTGTGAAGTTCGCCACTTGGCTGGATGACCTGCAGCTGTTCCTTCTGAGCGATAGCAAGGAGCATGTGTCGCTCTATGATTACGCGTCTGGTGCTGCACCTGCCCCTCCTGCCACAGCTGAGCTTAGTGTTCGTTCCCACTGGCAGACTCGTGACGCAGCTGCTCGCCTAGCCATTCGCAATCACCTGCCGCTAGCTGAGCTCGAGCATTTTGGCGACTGCAAATCCGCTAAGGCCCTGTACGATGCTGTCGTTGCTCGCTACTCCTCGCCTGCCACAGCCGAGCTTAGCCGCCTCATGCTGCCGTACCTGTTCCCTGAGCTGTCCACCTTTGCTACAGTCGCCGATCTTATCACTCACCTTCGCACTAGTGATGCTCGCCTGCGTGCCGCCCTTCCCACCGAGTTCTGCGCTAAGAATCCCCCTCCACTGTACTGGACACTCCACTTCATAGTCACCCGTCTCCCTGACACCCTCAGCTCAGTTCGAGACCACTTCCTTGCTCGCTGTCCCACTGAGCTCACAGTCGCCCTCCTAGAGGAGCAGCTGCTAGCGGCCGAAAAGAGCATTGTAGCTGTCGGTGCTGCTCGTGGCGCTCCTCGCACCCCCATCTTTGAGGGGTGTTCTCCCTCTCCCCTCGCTCCCTCCTACGCTACTGCTGCTGCTGTTGACTTCCTTGGTGCTGAGTCTGCTGGCGCTGCTTCTGCTCCTGGTGGGAGGCGCCGCACCGGCAAGGGCAAGGGGGGCAAGGGTGGCGGGGGTGGCGCTGGGGGGGGAGGAGGTGGGGGAGGTGGGGGGGGAGGCGGTGCTGGAGGGAGCGGTGGCGGGAGCGCTGGTGGGAGTGGGGTCGGCGGTGGAGGCGGGGGCGGCGGAGGAAGCAGTGGCAGTAGTGGCGGCGGCGGCGGTGGCGGCGGTGGCGGTGGTGGCGGTGGTGGCGGTGGCGGTCGGAGCGGTGGTAGTGGTGGTGGCGGAGGTCGGAGTGGAGGCACTGGCTCGGGCCAGAGCTCCCAGCAGCAGCAGCGTCCCCAGACGACCCAGCAGCTTCGTGAGTGGCTTGCTCAGCGTGGGACGTCGGGGGGCAGTGGCCGCTGTTCCTATGTCATTCGCACAGGTGACCGCAAGGGACAGACGTGTGGGAGGTTCCACACCCCGTACCGCTGCTTCTCCCGCCTTGACGACGCTTGGCGTGAGGAGATGGGCGAGGATGTTGAGCGCCCCCGCTGGGCTGAGCTCATGAGGGCTGGTGTTGATATCTTTGCTCTTGACTATGATGCTATTATTGCTGCCATGTATGCATTGACTGTTAGTGCCGAGGGAGACTGTTACTTGTGTGTGCCGCCTGACCCAGGTATAGAGCCCGCTGCCCTGGGTACTAGTGAGTCTGCTCTCTCTGGTATGGTGCCCCCTGTACTTGCTCCCTCCAGTGCTGTCCCGGCTGTTTGCGAGTCTGCTCTCTCAGGTACAGCACCCACAGAGACTGCTCTCTCAGGTACCGCACCGGCTGAGGCCTGTCACACCTTCACCCTTGACTCAGGTGCTTCCCGCTGTTTCTTTCGTGACAGTACTGAGCTCACACCGCTTCCTGCACCGGTCCCAGTCTCCTTGGCTGACCCCTCTGGGGGCCCAGTCCTTGCCCAGTCCACCACTGTGCTCCCTTGTCCGGCGGTTCCGTCTGGCTCGTTGTCGGGTTTCCACCTCCCCTCGTTCTCGACGAACCTGGTGAGCAACGCTGTCATCCAGGATCAGTGGGTTGACACCTTTACCCCTGGAGGACAGCGTGTGGCGATCTGCACGTGCTCCAGGACCGGCCGTCACCTGGCTACGTTTACCCGTCGGCCGGGGTCGAGTCTCTACACACTGACCACTGCGTCTCCTCAGGTTGCTGCTGTCGGTCAGGTGTCCGCGTCAGGTCTGGTGGCCCACGCCTGTGAGTGTCGTTCCCTGTCGCACCAGACTCTTCTCTGGCACCACCGCCTGGGTCACCCCTCCTTGCCACGCCTCCGTGGCATGCACTGTCGCTGCCTTGTGTCTGGTCTTCCCAGGTCCCTCCCTCCCCTCCCTGCCTCGCCTGCGCCGCCTTGCCTTCCTTGCGTCGAGGGGCGGCAGCGCGCCGCTCCTCACTCCTCCTCGTTCCCCCCGACAGAGGCTCCTCTGCAGACCCTCCACCTGGACGTGTGGGGCCCAGCCCGCGTTCGTGGCCAGGGCGGTGAGCGGTACTTTTTGCTGGTTGTCGACGACTACTCGCGTTACACCACGGTCTTCCCCTTGCTCACCAAGGGTGAGGTCCCTGCTGTTCTGATCCCTTGGATCCGCACAGTTCGTCTCCAGCTCCGCCGCCGTTTCCGGACGGATCTTCCTGTCCTGCGTCTGCACTCTGACAGAGGTGGTGAGTTTTCCTCCGATCTCTTGAGGACCTTCTGTCAGGCGGAGGGCATCGAGCAGACCTTCACGCTTCCGGACTCCCCACAGCAGAATGGGGTTGCTGAGCGCCGCATTGGCCTGGTCATGGAGGTCGCTCGTACCTCCTTGGTCCACGCGGCGGCTCCCCATTTTCTGTGGCCGTTTGCTGTCCGGTACGCCGCGCATCAGCTCAACCTCTGGCCCCGTGTCTCCTTGCCGGAGACCTCGCCCACACTGCGTTGGACGGGGGAGGTTGGCGATGCGTCGCGCTTCCGGGTGTGGGGTGCTCGTGCCCTTGTCCGCGATACGTCCGCGGACAAGCTCTCCTCCCGCACGCTTCCCTGTGTCTTCCTTGGCTTTGTCCCTGACGCGCCGGGCTGGCAGTTTTACCACCCCACCTCGCGCCGGGTCTTCGCCTCTCAGGACGTCACCTTTGACGAGTCGGTCCCTTTTTACCGTCTCTTCCCCTACCGCACTGCCCCCCTCCCTCCCCCGCCGCTTTTCCTTGCTCCTGGTCCCCCTCCGGTAGACCCCCTTCCCCCTCAGGGTCCTGCTCCTTCAGGTGTCTCTCAGGTAGACCCTCCTCCCGTCGCTGAGCCTGTCGAGGTCACAGGTGACTCAGGTGCTGCTGCAGGTGGTGCTGCTGGGAGTGCTGAGCCTGGGGGTGCTGAGCCTGCGGGTGCTGGGCCTGGGAGTGCTGGGACTGCGGGTGCTGGAGCTGAGGGTACTGTGCCTGGGAGTTCGGCGCCTGGGGGTGCTGAGCCTGGGGGTGCTACGACTGGGGGTGCTGAGCCTGCGTGTACGGAGTCTGGGGGTGCCGAGCCTGGGGGTACTGCGCCTGAGGGTACTGAGCCTGGGGGTGCTGCTACTGAGCCTACGGAGCCTGGGGTTGCTGCGTCTGGGGGTGCTCTTCCTGGCGGTACTGGAGCTGCTGGAGCTGACGACGCTGGAGCTGACGGTTCTGGACACGGTGGTCCTGCTGGTTCTGGAGGTGCTGGCGAGGGGAGGTCTGACGCTGCTGGGGCCTCTGGTGCTGACGTCGCCGACTCGGGGGGTGCTGCGGCGGAGGGTGCTGGTCCAGGTGCTTCTGGTGCTCCGGGTGCTGGAGGTGCTGGCGGAGCTCCGCCGT